CTTTGTGAAGGTGACATTGAAGAATACAGCAATGATTGGCACAAATTTCTCGATCAACATAAGAATGATGCAAAGGCCTGACCTCTGGATTGATTCTAGATTCTAGAATGAGTATATATATATATATGTTGTAGTAGATTGTAAATTGTAAATGTATTTGCTTGATGTTTGTAGAAAGTAGAAAGCTGTTAGTGAACATTTCTCTTCTACAACATTACATTGTACTGTACAACTGTATACATTCAATCATTCCAAATTCTAACTCTCGAACACATAGAACAGTTGAAGTGCACATCATCATATGTGTTTAGTCTGAATGTGCTTTGTGGCACAGGCTCCCACCAACGACATTGACTCTAATGATGAGGCCATGCTTGGTGACACCGGTGAACACAAGTCAGAGAAGACTGAATACAACGATGATGATGGTGATCATGTCTACCCCAAGCCACCCGACTCAAACCTCTACCCGAACATCAACTATGTCTTGAAGTCGGCAGCTGAGGCCTTGAACTTGAACATTGATGAGAAAACATCACATCTAGTTTTTCTAGATTCTTTACTATAAACTATAAACTTAAACTTACAAATGGCTAATCAAATAGAGTCTATAGAGTCTATAGAGTCAGAGCAAATAAAACTGCTATCTAATATGTAAATTATTACAACTTACAGGGCAAAGATGTAATATATACATCCAACTGCTGTATGACAGTATGTGACCCTGAGATCATGGTATCACGCGTCTTTGCTGGGACTCATTCTTCCTCTATTGCAGAGAGACTACGCTCGTGGCCACGGCAGCTACATGTCGCCGATATGTTCTCTGGTGCAGGCACGTTTCACAAAGTGATGGAAGCTATTGTGCACGCACTGAAGAAGAACTACGCAGCAAGCATGACTGGTGTTGAGGCAGGTGTTGAACATTCTCAAAGTTTAAGTTTAAGTCTTAATTAAGTTTCAACTTCCAACTCAAACATTGTTCAAGTTCAAACGTTCAAACTTAGTTTAATAATATAATAAGTTCAACCCAACACCCACCAAAGGTGACATTGTTCAGATTGCAGGTTCTTGAAGTCTTGAGTTAACTTCTGTCAGGTGGTTCATGAATTTATGTGCGAGTGGATTCCCTTCAAGCAAAAGTTCCTGCTTGCGACAGTGAATGATCAATCATGCTGTTTGTTCAAGAACGCACTCCATATGTTTGGAGATGAACGCCATTGCTGTCGACACGGCCGGAAGTGTGTCCTTTGGTAATGCATTTAGCTTAGACTGATTGAAATTTTGGGTTATGAAGTTTGGTTCATATCATGTAAGTGTGTCTCGTTTGACTCTTTTGCAATATGCAACTAGTGCCCATGACATAATGAACAATAACAATAATAACAATGTTGTTTAAATTTGTATCACAAACACAACCGCACTTGCAGGATTTGCCGGGTGAATTGTTTGGATTCAATGCTGGCTTCTCATGCAAGTCATTTAGCAAACTTCATCCAGACTGGCAAGCAATGAAGCGTGCAATGCAGGATGACAACAATGAGCCTTAAATCAATTTAATTAGACTCAAATAAATAGACTTAGACTTAAACTTAAACTGAACTCACACTAGACTATCTAGAATCTAGAATCTAGACCTTGGCTTGATAATTTGTGATTTGATCTGGTTGGCGCACATGTACCACATATTTAGTCCATTTAGATTTAGATTAGATCAGTTTAGCGCAGTCCTGACTGACTGTCTAGTGGACATCTCGCATCTGAGGAAAGTAGCTCTGTTGTGACCTTCAAATGCGTCACCCATGTACTTGATTCAACATCGTGCGGGTGGTTTGTCCTGGAGAATGTTGATATTGACGACGAATCGAAGAACAGCAACCTCTCTCTGATTCTGCAAGCTCTTCAGAACTCAGGTCCTTCTGGTTTCAATGTGAGATGCTTCAAGGTGGTAAGCACCGACTTTGGGTTACCTCAACGCCGTGTCCGGCTCTACTTTGTAGGTGTGAGCTGTGCGATCTACCCAAACGTCAACATGGACAATGTCTCCAAGCACTTGAACCTTTTCAAACTCAAAACACAACCACCTGTGCTTCAGCAGCACTTGCCCAATACTGAATATTGTTGACATTTTAGCAGTTTAACTTTTGTAACGTTTGTAAACAACTATAACTGAAACTGAAAAGTCATATCGATTCAAGGCTCAAGGCCTCAATGCTCAGGACTCATCACATTTTGGAAAACCTGGAAAACAACGATAATAAAGTTTAGTTTAGGTTAATGTTATTTATGACTTTGAACTGATGGCAATTACTAGGAAGACTATATGCTTCCTGACGACGATGTTGCTGTGATTGATGATTTGGATCGGCGTGTGGAGCGTAAGCAGAAGGTACAGGAGAAGGCAGACAAGGAGCATGAGGAACTATCGAAAAAGGAGAAAGCTTCAAAGGATAAGGACAAGGATGAAGGGAAGGAAGAGAACGCTAAATGGAAATCATTACACATGGACCTTGCAGAAAAGCGTGGCTTATCTCAAGTTAGCAAAAACACTGGATGTATTCTGATACTAGTCACTAGTCTTGTACTTTAGAATCTTCTTGTTTGGTGTTCATGATGGCCAAACTCTGACGACTCTAAATATTATTTATCAATATATATCACGAAGAGTATTGCTAGCTGCATTGTCACAGGTGGAATTCGATGGCCTTTGCCCGTTCCGAAGTCCTTGGCAGACTGTGAGTGGTTTCAGTGTCAATCTGCGCGAGAACAAGAGGAGAGACTTGAAGAGACTGTAGTGTGAGTGTGACTGCTTTCAGTCAGGATATTTTTTTTGTTGTTTGAACTTTGAACACGTTGCAGAACGTTCTGTTCATGATGGACGACCAAAAGACTCGACAACTCAGTGGCAAGCAATCTGTGAGATTTGGAGATCTATACCAGTCAGCCAGCCGATTGCCAACAAGTGCAGACTACGCATCTAGCATGAAATTTATTTTACTGTTTCTCAGATTCTCACTTGATTCTCAAATTTATTCCTTCCAAGATTAGATAACTGTAGTGAAGTGTAATGACTGCCAAGGAGATTCCGACCATACTCCCATCCAGCAAGCTCTATGACATCAAACGGCATCAGCTACTTCTTGGATCCTTGTCTTGTGTCTTTCAGAATGAATCACTCTCACAGTGACTCAGACTCACATTGTGTTGTGTGTGTATGTCTCGTCTCTTCAGAGTTAAGGTGAGTGTTTTTGGTGTGTTTTTTGACGTTTGGTGTGTTTTTGAACACTTGAGGACGTGAACTACTGCATATGCAAGGGTTGCAGTTTGGGGATACAATGAGCCAGTTCACCGAAAGCCAGCTGACAGACCTAGCTGGCAATTCGTAACTTGGATGGATTTCACTTCTTCAGCACATAGAATGAGCAGTGCAACTGACAAGAATGAACATAATCAAATGGATTCAATCACTAAACGGCTAAACTTCAATCTTCAAACTTCAAACACAATTAACAAAACGCCAAGATGTGCACACTATACTATACTAAACCCACTGACTCAGGCACAAAACAAAACATAATGCTGCGATTCCATGTGCTGTGATGTCACTGATTTCACTGACTTCTCACCTGCAGGTTCTCTTCAACTGTATGTTGCGCTGTGATTCTTAGTCTGCTATTGGAGCTTGATCACGCAACGGAGTCCGAGATTGAGGAAGAAAGTGCACTGACAGATATGGTGGACCGGCTGCTAGGCTAAATAATTGAAAGATACTGATGGCGACTGTGCACAGTTCATGTGGTTTTTTTAACTTTAATTTTTGTTTTGGGTTCCACCTCCACTGTCAATTCAAGCAGTACCAAGACTGGACCAAGACTAATGATTAGTGACTTATGTTTACAATGCAATTTACAAACAACCATACACCGAATATACTACAAAACTAAACTTAACCTCGCCAAATACCTACTTCTTTGAGGTTGAAGCGTCAACGACGGCCATGACACCGACTTGAAGGTTTGGTGACCTTGGTGGCACACACGGTGTCACACACGCGTGATGTGAGATGTTGGCCAGTTTTCAGCTACAATGCCTTCTGATGGCTACAGAGATTCAGTTGTGCCACATACTCATGAGAGAGTATGAAGGGTGTGCATGACTGGTCATGCAAAGAGTCTCAAAGGCATCTTTGCTATTTGCCTTTTGATCGACCGCAGACACTGACACACTCAGCAGGGGAAAACATATGCAACTTTTGCATGCCATTTGTTGGTTTGTTTGTTCTACTTTCGTCGTGTTGTTGCTGTATGGCCAAAGTAATCAAACCTCAACTTATAATAGCACATTTCCATATACTTATCCCATGACCTGCCCCGTCACCCTATCAGTTGCACCATACAGTTGCACTAGTCGCACCCCCCAACCACACCCCCTACTCGCGCCTACATCCCAACATCCCTCCAGAGCATGACTCTTGAAGTTAGCTAAATTTTAAGATTTTGTTCTAGCTGTGATGTCTGAGGTCTGTTCTGAGCGTCGTTCCGCGTTGTGCTTTGAACACTCCCAGCCAAAGAGAATTCGGGTTCCACAGTGATGTTCCAATGATGTTCCCACTATACATATGTTTCAACTATCTCTGGGCCCGCCAAATAAACAAAGTAACCGAAACCCGTTTCAAAACAAAGGTTTACTTACCGTCATCTTGCACCTCGAACCCTTGGACACTCTGTCCCACGTTGTGACGTGTGATACAAGCAACCTTTTCAACCTTGACGCAAATTGTCTCACTGCTCTTTACAATTCGACAGTTGCCAGTGCCCGTGATAGTGGCCATGATAGGTGATAGTGTGGGCGCACCACCGTCGTTGGTTCCGGCCCCCGTCCCATCGAAACAACGCGCTGGTGACATACGGTCACTAAAACAGTGGGAACCGCAACGCCTAAGTCTGAATTGACACAAAAAACGACGAATCGTGAAACTCATCACGTCGGCCCACAGGCTCCTCCAAGCAAGCCGGGTATGAATAACCTATGTCCTGGCCGCACCTTGAACCAAAGCTGTTCCGATTGGCGTTGCGCTCCTCAACATTGGCTGGCTTACTGTAGTTTTCCATTGGGTGCCAGGACTTCAGGGCACTTGAAAAACAAAGTGGCACTACACAAAGTGGCTCCACACCCGTCGGCGCCGACCCGCCGCACTCACATCAACTCTAAGATCCACCATTCCGACGAGCAACTCCAAGGTGTCCGAAACTACACGCACATCCAAAAACAAATGTTTGCCCGGCTAGGACTTGTCCAACATCAGCTGCGATATTTTAAGCTCGGCCGTTTGCCATTTGCAAAAAAAAGGGCAGGATCACGCCAAAACAAAAACATTCGGGGTAGCTGAATAGAACATTCCCTAAGCGCCCCGGTCCCAAGGCTGCGGAACCGTGGCGCAAGCACCCGCACTTTCATCCAAAACGGCGCTGCTCACGCTCGTGATACGCTCGTCCCTCAGTCGGACCAGCACCCGTGCGACATGCGCACGGTCGACGGTTGGTGTGGCCAAAAAGACCTTGCAAAGCACCTGCTGGAATTCCAGCAAGGGCGTGCCCTTCCCAGAACTGCATGTTTCACGCACACTTTCTGGTCAGCCAAACCATTTTTGCGAAGCTCTCTTGAACCGAACAGCGGTCTGTATACGTCAAACGGTTCTTCAGGAAATGGCCTGAAGGTTTTTTTTTTCCCCTCTTCTGCCCTCGGAGGCGACCTGTCTTGGCGCGGGCACTCTATGTACAGCCGGGCATTGCCGGCTCACGGCCGCAGGGGGAGGCGACTCGGCGCGGGGCCCCCGGCGAGCGCCAGGACCTCCCCGAGGGGGAGTTCGGCGGGGCCAGTGGGGCAGGGTGGCGCGCGCCAGTTAAACACTTTTCCCTCGGGATGGATGTGAGTCCCTGGCACACTGGCCAAATTAACAATGAACTCGCAGTCTGGCGCTGGCGTGGAGTTCAGTGCGCCGGGATACATTCCCAACTTGATGCATCCTCAAGTTTCAACACGTTCTCTCACGTTGGAAAACATGCGCTTGAGTGAATTGTGTAGCACAGTCTTCATCTGCATACACTCCAAGTCCGTCTGTCATTTCAAATCCAACTGAGTCTGTCATCTCAACCTCTTCATTTGGAACTCTCTTCTCCCACGTTCTCGTCACGCGGCTCAAAAACATCATCTGGCCCTCTAGGAACAAACAGGCGCTCATCCACAATGTTTTCAACGCCACGCTTGACTAAACCGTCTTTCCATCATCCAAAAGCGCTGCTTGTTGTATTTCCACCAAAGATTTCACGCCCATCTGACCCTGCTTGTCTTGAGCCTCTTGTTCCTGAACTTGCGCAGCTCCTATTGCTGTTGTTTTATTTGACTTTCTCATCAAAAACACTTAAAGTTCTGGAACCCTCACTTGCCAGCATTCACTGTCGCCTCCTTCTAGGCAGTGGTACAACGTCCTTCTTCCTCCGTGAATCATTTTTCTGGATATTCTAACTCTCGCCCCATTTCATCCATTTTGCCTCCTTGCGTGACCCTGACCTGAAACCATATCTTCTTGAAGGGTTCGCCCATGGGCGAAGGTGTGAGAGCACCCTTCAAAGCATGTGGCCCAACCGGACGCCCAAATTCATCGGAAATGCTCATCAAGAATCAAGGTAGATTGTAACCTTTGCACTGAGCAGGAAACCTGTCCAATTGCCTATTCACTCTCCGCACTGGACGTGTGAGTTTCTGCTGTCAAAGCATGAACGCTGGAACTTCACTTGGTTCAGGGAGAGCAGCAGTCACAACAGCATCGAAATCGGGGACGATGGGAGGAACTTTCTTACGCGCAGGTTGCAGTCCAACTGAAATCTGGGCCTGTTGTGCATGAAGAAGGTTCCAATCTCACTCAAACTTTCAGGCAGCAACTCCCGGCCGCGTCTCTGTGCAAATTGTAAAACAGCTTGAACTAGTGCAAAACACAATTTCCGTGGGTATTGTCACCCCAGGCTCGTAGACAGAGACGCTGTCCTGAAGATTCAACTGCTAAACGCCATGGTGCATGCTCGTGCTTCCTGTCACTAACAATGCCCAATTGCTCAATGTCTCCAAAATTTGCCACAATTCGAGTCCACTCATCTCGGTTGCCAACACGCAAACCTGCAACTCAGCACAATATATTTCAAAGTGTTTCCACAAGGAGATGAATACGTTGTGCACCAGAAATATGAATTTTTCAAGTTTTCCATGGTAACCAAAATGCCCTTCACGGTTGGCAAAAATGCAACATACCACTTCAAACAGCTTGTTCGCAGTCCGAACCCTCTGCAAATCACTTCCTTCAAGCTGTGGGAGGCCTTCAGGACGGTCACAACTGCGTCAGGGTTTCGGGTCGCTCGGATGAATTCTGATGTCACGACCTTGTGACGCTGTGCCACACACCAGCGCCAGGTGGATCCACAAGAGAAGTCCTGACGACATCCAAGCATCAATCAACGCAGAATCAACTTCTCGTGTCGCGTCCAAGCGGATGATGCTCGAAGGGCTACTCTTCTTCTGTACTCAATGCTACCGCTGAGGCCATGTTGCTGCGCAACAGAACGCCGAATGGCAGACCCTGCAAAAATCTCCAGTGTCCATGTTTGGCCGACGTGTGTGCCGGACCACGGTCGCGGGGCTATCAACTGTCTCAATCATTTCACATGTTCGTGCAAAGCATGGGCCTGTCCACCCTTACGACAACGTTCACCAGCCTTGACGGGCGCTTCCACTGAGAATCACCTGTGGAAGAAGTCGGCTTGGCCACTGGAGCGAGGTGCCAAGCGATGTTAGGGCCACGAGGGCATCACCTATAGCGTCGCACATGATCCAGTATTTTGTGTCGCAAATGGGCGAATGACATTCCACCAGAATACAACCGACTGGCTTTGGCACAGTAGTTGCACTGCCACGGTTTAGCATGGTCTGGACTTGGGAGCGCAGTCACTTAGGTGCAACAAACCTCATTTGCCACACCATTTGCAACACAAGTCATGTACTACTCCTACTACTATTACTACTACTACTACTATTACTACTACTACTACTACGACGACGACGACGACGACGACGAGGACTACTACTCCTACTCCTACTACCACTACTGCCACTACTACTACCACTACTGCCACTACTACTGCCACTACTACTGCCACTACCACTACCACTACCACTACCACTACCACTACCACTACTACTACTACTACTACTACTACTACTACTACTAGGTTCTTTTACTACTAGTTTCTTTTACTACTACTTTTACTGTTACTTCTACTGCTACTTTCACTACCACCACCACCACCACCACCACCGCCACCACCACCACCACCACCACCACGACCACGACCACGACCACGACGACGACTACGACGACTACGACGACGACGACTACTACTACTACTCCTACTACTACTCCTACTGCTGCTGCTGCTGCTGCTGCTGCTGCTGCTGCTATTGCTGCTGCTATTGCTGCTGCTACTGCTGCTGCTACTACTACTACTACAACTACTACAACTACTACTACTACTACTACAACTACTACTACTACTACCACTACTACTACTACTACTGCTACTACTACTACTGCTACTACTATACTACTACTGCTACTACTACTACAACTACTACTAGTACCACCACCACCACCGCTAACTACCACCAACACCACCACCACCACCACCACGACCACGACCACGACGACGACTACGACTACGACTACGACGACGACTACTACTACTCCTACTGCTCCTACTGCTCCTACTGCTGCTACTGCTGCTACTGCTGCTACTGCTGCTACTGCTGCTACTGCTGCTACTGCTGCTACTGCT